TTCAGACTTGAAGCTTGTTTACCTTAATTACATTATTTGAAATGGTCTGGTTGCATAGGTTGAAATGCTCCAGAAAGGACTCAAGGGGATTGGAATTTTGAGAGGTGTTCCAAGCAGTGCCTATCATACACTGAACCCCACTTCTATCGGTTTCTTTATGCATACTTGAAAAATACAGCTTGGTTAATCTCTTTGTGTACAAAGATTAGTAGAATTATTTGTTGGCTCTACAAATTTTTAGGCTAGTTTCAAAAGATAAATACAGATTGGACCTGTATGTTCATCTTTTATTGGTCTAGGTCACTACTTGGGAGTGGATATACATGATTGTTCAAGGATCAGCTATGACTATCCTCTCAAGGCAGGTGTTCTAAGTTTTCTTGCCTTAAGTTTCTCTAAACTTGAGATAAACTCAACCACTGGAGCTTTATATAACGTGTCCATATTCATTCCTGCCTTAGTCCTATAGATTTTCATTGGATGCGCTAAGAGCAACAGATATTTCTGTTAGGATTATAGTTTTGATGATAACAAAGTCAGATAATTTGGGTTAAGTATGTTTATCGATCAACTGATCGATAAATCGGTTATCGCTAAGGTTACAGATAATTGTTCAAGTATAAAGCAGTTTTATAGTAGGTATCTTGATCGAAGAACGATTCGATAAGAGGTTAATCGATAAAATGTTCGATTATTGCTAACATAGAAATCACACAAGATTACGACTAATTATCGATCAACTGATCGATAACATCAGATAGACAATCGAGTTACTGATAAAGAGAACCAAATCTGAAGTGTATTTATCGATCACATGATCGATAAATCAGTTATCAATAATGACTTCGATAAGAGGTAACACAATCTACTTGTTCTGCACATTAATTCTGCTACCATTTATCGATCATATTTTCGATCATTTGTTTATCGATCACATGATCGATCATTATGCTCTAACTCTCTGAATGCAGGTAATCATCTTTACTGATGGATTAATAACCTTATCGAACATAAAATTATCAATCACATGATCGATAATCAATGTCTTTATCTACTCATATTTAGTTTTCTTGCAACCAAATTATCGATAACATTATCGATAATTTAACTTGTTTGCATAAATATCTTTTCACATAACATGATCGATAAAGAGTCTAAGGATTGCTATATTCGCATTAACTTATGTTGAATTATTTTCGATCACCTAATCGATCATTGACTTTTCGATAATATGATCGATCATTCAATTCCCTGAAACTCATGTTTTCACAAAACGTGATCGATAATCAGTTTCTTTACCTTACAGGATTAAATTTCTTTTCTCACTTTATTCGATCACTTGTTCGAATATTCATTGATCGATCACCTGTTCGATCATTTCAGTTAGTCTGTGTCTTTCACTGAATATATTCATACTCATGGTTTATCGATAACATTATCCATCATACATTTATCGATAAGTTGTTCAATCATCAATAACTGAAGTTTCATTTCAATAACATTTGAATTATCGATAATCTGTTCGATCAAAAAAGTGTTCGATCACTTGTTCGATCATGGAACGATTTCCGTTTACTATGATAATTCTTAAAGTCAATGATCCAACACTTGATCGATAATATTGTTGAACTAATTCGAAAAGCCTTCATTCTGTTTATCGATAGCCTGATCGATCAACAAGTAATCGATCACCACTTCGATCAAGCATATCCAGAATGTCTTTCTGCTCTTTTTACAGCTAAATCATTTCGTCCAAAATCATTGAATGATAAATTCGTTTTCTCTTCTTGGTTCATGACTAAAGTCTACACCGCAAGACTCTTACTTGTTTAAAGCTTAAAATATGCAGATTACTGAGAAAGAATACAACGGCTCTTCAACGGGATTACGTAGACTGCAACCTACAGTGTCAGAAGCTCAGACGCATTAATGGCGGAACCGTTGAAACCGGCGGAACCGTTGAAACCAGCGAAACGCGCAAACGGAGTCACAACGGCTAGAAGTTCTTCCGTCTAACGGCTACTTAACGATATCAACTATAAAAGGCGCGAAGAAGCATTAATGAAGAGATTGAATACCGGAACTACCACCTGTGATTATTAAGCCTAGCATTCAATACTCTGTTTTTCCGCGATACTACTGAGCATCAGTGTTCATCATTAAATTCACTCTGTAAGAGAGCCGATTACTACTCTTTATTAAATACTTGAGCGATACTCAAGAGTGTGGACTCTTGAGAGGGCTTGTATCCTTACGGGAGTAAGGGGGAGTGATTGAGCGATTCAATTACTGTACCGAGGCACCAAGAGCCCTGTCGATCTTGGAAGATAGTGAAATACTCAGAGGTATTCTGAGGACTGGACGTAGGTCAAGTGGTTAAGACCGAACCAGTATAAATCTTGTGTCTTCCCTCTGCGGTGAAATTTCTCCTGACTCTGACTCTCTGCTTTTCAATATTGTTTCGTTTTTAATTCTAAATTTTTGTAACTCACCCAATTCACCCCCCTCTTGGGTGAGATTGATTCTAACAATTTCCAGCTAATATGTTTAAAAGTATTTGATAGTCAATGTCTTCTAAAGCATGCTACATTTAACTGAAGGAAGTCTTAAAAAATTACACCCAGGGATATTTTTCTGGCCGAGAATGACAATTTTTGCCCTTTCCTTATATAGGAACATGGCGATCATGCAAGAGTTTTATTGTTTGCATGCTATAGCCGTGCTGATTGACATCGTTCATTCACATATTAGTTAACAATTTTTTCTTTTTCATTTATTTATTTTGCAGGTCATAACTATTGAACCAGGATTACACATTCCATTTCATTTTGATGGTGCAGAGAGGAACCTACTGAACTCAGAGAATTTGCTTAAACTTCAAATTAAATTGTCACGTATTGGTACAGTCCTGTACCTACTCCTCTAGTGAAACTATTTTTTGTATATCTGTCTACACAAGACATGCACATTCATGCATGGGAGGGTGGCATTGAAGCTTTAAGAGTTTCTCCCCTTTTGAAATTCTTTTGGTATTTGTGTCTTGTTAATTGGTGTTGTCCTGTGCTTACTCCTCTTATGACCAGATTTAAAAATTTATCCTGTCAATCTTCTTACTTATTTGGAATCTGGGCATGCACCAAGAGGCCAAAATCAATCAATTGGAGTTAACTATAGTTTCTTAGCATGTTCATTGTCTTGATTCTTTGGAGTTTTACTGATTTACTGTGTTCATAAATTCTTCCCCACGCAAGAAATGTGCTGCTTCATCTGGATCTTGGATTTGGCACCTGAGGATCGATAATCTTCTGTCTCGAGTTAATCTGTTTCAGCTGTACTCTTGGGCTACTATGAATATATGATACGTCTTTTGGTTCTTACTTCCACTATTCTGCTTGTTTTATCTTGTGGCCACTGGCTTGATAACATCATAGTTAGCTTTTAAGCCACATGATTTATAAGTATAAACTCCTTTAAGAAATTTTATCCAATCTTGGCATCAAGTGTTCTTTTTTCGCTTGCCAATGTTTGAACAATGAATTGAGGACGAGGTTCTCATCATGGAAACAGGTTATGAGGTAATCTCTTTACATGAATTCTTTATTTTGAAAAATATCAGATTTATGACAGCTAGAGGAGATTTGACTCCAGTTATTTTGAGAGTTAGAACAATGTACTGGGATTGCTTTGTCTTTCACAATAAATGGAAGTCAAATCTTCTGACTAACTGTTAAATAAACACGATATATACTAAATTTAGCATTTATTATGTTTTTTTGTACTATCTGTATTGTAGGCTGCTACATATTCATAATGCCTACAGCCCAAGCAAGTGTTCTAAGTAATAATCTTGATATGCATTCTAAATTTCTCTTTTATGGCAAACGGTCTTGTCACCTAGTGACATAAAAGCTCCTCTATAAATGGTAGATCAAGGGTTTGATCCTGCTTGCAGTCTCAGGCTATTAGTACCTACCTCTTTAATTTTGTTTTTAAAGAAATCTGTTTTATGAGAATAGAATGAGAGTAAAGCATGTTAATATCAAAATACTTTATGCATCTTATAAATCTCTAATGAATTATGGCTTATCAAGAGTATCATATACTCTTTGGTTTGCGTGCTATCTCTCATATGAACAGTAACTGATACTGAAGTTATTCCACTCTGGTCCTTACCACATCAATTTCTAAGGAAATCAAGCCCATGGAATCCCTGCTAAATAACTGCCATGGAATGGGCATGGATAGCCACAGCACAATGGGAGCTTCACCACAGAGTTAAATAAGTATTGTACAAGGAACCAAGACATGAATCCTTGAAGAAAGGGAAACCCCAGGCACGTACTGACATTTGAAGCCCAAGGACAAACCATTCTGTAACCATCTATGCTTTTTTTTTTTTAATTAAAAGGACAGGCACTAACAACTTGAGATTATAAGCAGAATTGAACCGATGACCTCTCAGTTACAATCTATAGAAAAGCATCAATGCTATTATACTACAAAGCGTTTGGCCTTAAATTAAGTTGAAGCCTACCTTTTTCTTTTGAGTGGAATGGTGTTTTCACTTTTGAAAGCATTGCATTGATTATGGCCCCCATACTCAGCAGGTCTACGACCTTAAGCACCCAAGAAAAAAAAAAAACCAAAAAGAAAGTGGGAGTATGGTAGGTTCCATTAATTGTTACTTTCGGTGGTCGTTAATCCTCTATATAAGTTATAACTTTTGAAATAGGATTAGATTTTTTTATAAGTTGCATTTCGTACCTATCTGAAAATTAAATTTATCTCTTTTTTTTTCATTTTTTCTTCCATGTTTGCATTAATTTCATTTTTACTATTGTCATAATCATATTCACATCATACTTTCATAATTCAACCACAAGTTAATATCAGATCTGATCAATTATTGAACAATTAGGAAGGGATGCACATGACTGCAAAATTAAAGAGCATTCGTTGATCAGATTATATCTAATAGAAAGGATTTATTCCTCACGACGTAATAAATCAAAGTTTAAAAGTGCTCACATTTTAAGGATTGATAGTGTTTCAAATAGACTTAGTAGAATAAGAAGATACATGTGCTTGACACCAAAAAAAAAAAAAGAGCAAATAAAGAGCATCGTTGAGTTTTACAATAGCTATCATGGAATAAATGAAGCATTGCTGAATCTTTCAATTCATCAGTCTCATACTTACCAAAAACAAGTCATACGATTAGAAAAATGCAGTAAATGTACCAGAATGACCAGCCACACCGACGGTCAATTAAGACAAGTCTCTTGTGTTTCAATGGTGCAAATACCAAAAATTATCCAGATGTTCTGAATGGGATGAAGTTGGGTATTATCAGAAGCAATAGACTTGTTCTTTCCATGCGAAATCCAGCATTCACATATTGGCGCATCTAGAACTTCAGGTGTGATAAAGAAAAGCTATTAAGAAACCGATCACGATTTGATTAGTTCAGCTCGAGGCCTCCATAATCCCAGCCTGTACTTGTGTGCATATTTCAATATTAACTTCCTCTGCAAAGCAAAAACTATAGGTTACAAAGAGTTCGCATGTAGGCCCCACGCATTTTAATGTCTTATGGTCCAAAACGAATATCAATTAAAGGAGTCTTGAAACAAGATAGTGGAAACATCACAAAACCTTTATTTCTGCCAAAGATAAAATGGTCATATCCCTGCAGCCTGTTTAACAAGCCAGTGAGTTATCGTTCTTCAGCTAGGTCCGAATAATCTAACAGAAAAAAGCCACCAAGAAAATCTAATCTCCCATAAAAGGGCTGAATAATAGCTCACATAGATTCCCTAATAATCAGTCCAGTACGTATATATTACAATGAAATCAAAATAACTGAGCATACTAACCCCTAGGAAATTGACACCACATCCTCATAGAAATTGACGACGCATAATAAACTCACTCAGATCATTGACAACACATTAGGCAACATATGACAGCATGGCAGGGAAGTTACTCTTCATAGCATAACCATCCCTATACCCTCCAAATTTTCTCTTCTTTCTACTGTATATAAGTCGTGGCATTCTATCAGCGACAGAGTCAATCAAGGGGTAGAATGCTATGTAGTACGTTAAGGAAGCACCTTTTACCCATATAACCACAAAAGACCTGCTATTACTAAGCGCTAGCCACAAACAATTGCTTGAAAACTCAAGTCAGTTCAACTTTCATACAAGGGAGCCATCAGGAACCTGCTTCCAATCAGCTGTAAGAAGATGACGTGCAACATCAGAACGCAATATAACACACGCACTAGTGAGATTTACAATTATTTTTAGCAGCGGAACAAAATAAGACGGTTGACATCTATCATCCATTTCAATAAAGGTGAATTCAGATTCCAGCTGCTTATTCTTCTAGAATCCAATAAAGTTCTGTACATGAAGCATAGCTATAGGACATAATCATACTGTCAAATTATACCAGCAAGATGCCAGGAAATAATGCTGCACTATTGGCATACTTTCTGGCGAAAATTGGGTAAGCATCCATTCTGAGCCAAAAAATAAAAAGGTAAAAACACGAAGCTAACAGATTCTAAGACAAATTCCAAATAAAAAGGACCTGAGCATAACAGATCTGGTTCATAAAGTGGCATTTGGTGGGAAAACAAAAATATTAAAATTTGAATAATGACACCAGCCAAAGAAAAGAAGGATTTAACGAACAGAAACAAAGTGTATGATAAATCCATAAATTTGTACAAAAAAATAGAGACAATAATGAAAGTTCAGCAACAAAGGTGTTAAGAGAAATTACCAAGAATTTAAAAATTTAAGAAATATCTTGAAGACACAAGATATTGGTCATTGACATGACATATATGCATGAATATTAAGGCATATGCATAGGTGCTTTTACAAATGATAATATGTTCTTGTATCTGCATGGAGAGAAAGCAAGCAGAGATGTGATTGGGATTACATGTTTGCAAGGAAAGCCCAGCTTCTTGAGCTTGAGGGTACGACAGACGAGAAGCTTCTGGAAGTCACCAATTTCTGTTTCAAGCTTAGCAACATGGGATTCAACTCCATTCCCTATTCCATTTACAAACTCGGGGATTCCAACCTTTGCGGCAGTAGCAAGCGTCAAAACAAGACTTTATCGTATCCATAGGTCTGCCACTTAATAACAAGAAGACTTATCCACATGTGAGGACACTTTAAGACTGAAGAAGCATGGTCACTTATTTAATTCTAGAATAGCTAATCCTGGGTAAGGCTTAAAGCAGGTTATTTCTCCAAGTTATACAAACTCAACAACGAGAAAACAATGAAACCCTCATTCCCATTTATCCCAACGAATGGCAGCACTAAGAGGTGCAAGAGATTCAAGAGGGGGGGGGGGGGAATCAGATTTTGAATAGACCAGCTATTACGAAGCTAAAATCTACACATTGACAGGGCCTCTTTTACAATTACCAAAATTGTCCGATATTTTTGCTTTGGGCATATCAAATAGTGAATGAAAATGAAGCATGGAGAAATGGTAGAGAAAGGAAGGAGGCATTACTGATGTACGGAGCTGATTTGGAGAAGAATCTAGAGGAATAAGGTGCAGAAGGACCTAGTGTTGATGTCAAATTTGTCCCAAAGATTCGCGGCATCCACGCCATATTGCAGCCTACTGGTCTTAAACCTTTGCAAAGCCTAGCCAACTCCAACCTCAATCCCAGCCAATGCGGGAATGAAAGTGCGCAACTCCGTCTCTGACCTCAAGTGAAGTGAGTAGATGAATACAATTCCTGTCCAGCGTCTCTACAGCAGCGATCTTGTCCGGCTGCACAACATAACGGTTCAGAAAATATATGCTGGCATTGGTATTGGTGGAACTAGCTAGGAAAACTTATAATGAAGTAAAAGTTCATAAATTCTTGAGCAAAGTCTCACAGCTTCATATCATTTAGTGACGCCAAAAACTATCAAAGTCTGGTCTTGAGCTGCAAATAATTTAATATCAGGATCTACTATTGATCAGGTAACATTAACAACTACAGCATGTATGCAACATTGTGCTACATCATTGTTACCTGAACTTAATCAAAGAAATCACACTTGAAATCGCGGACACCGAGTACTGATAAGAACCAATCCGCAAAGGAGAAAAAGAAGATCGTAACGAATTATAGAAGAATCAAAACATCACACGTTCTGGCACAGGGTAGGAAATTCCTTTGGCCTAATGGATATTCCAAACGTAGTCAGTCGAACGATTAGTTCAATATGGCATCGAAACATGTATCGATCCTCCTCGATTGGGGATGAATTCATTGACAGAAGCAATAATTCAAAGAGTCACAAAACCTCATAGCACGACAATTTTTAAAAATAGAATTGTAAAATGTTAATAGTGAAAATATGTAAGAAAAAAAAACTCTTCCTAAATATTATAATATTTTAAATTTAAAAGGTATTAAATATTAATAGTGAAATTTTATAGTACATATTATAATATAAAAGGTATTAATTTAAATTTATTTTTATGAATTTTTTTACATTGAAATCATTATAATTTTTCATCCATTCTATCTCAGCTTTCGCTTACAGTGGAACTTACTCAGCGCTATTTAGTATAAGCACTTATAAATTTAAGTTGAGATAAAATTTCTCTTTCCAATTTATTTTGTATTTCAAAAATTATAATTAAAAAGTTGTTTTTGAGGATTGTATAAGTCTTTTGTCTTCTTCCACTTCTCCCTGATGATCACCACCTTTTCAAAGTGAATCTGAAATAGATATCTCCTTATTTAATTTTATTAAAAATCTATTTTGGAATCGTTTGGGTAGGAACAAGATTATAGTTTTAAAAGTATTTTTCACAGTATACAAAATAAATATGTTGAGAAGTTTGTCTCAATTTATAAAAAAAAAATATTTTTCTGTGAGTATAAAACTAAATGTACTAGAGAAATTTTGTCCAATAAATATATTTGGGAATCCTAATCATCATTCCAACAAGCACTAAGCATGCATCCCCACTGCCAAAAACAGCTTTTTGGGTTTTATTGAGCCAAGTAACCTTTTCGAGCAGAAGCTTTACCTCTAATTAAACTAAAACAACTCTCTTACTAGTTGTTTAAACATAATTGACTCTCCTTTCTCCTTCTTTTCCTCTCATTACATGTATGTTTTTGGGGGTTGGGTGGGTTTAATTTAGTATGCACTTGAAACAGATTTTAAAAAATAGAAGAGGAAATCAGATTAATTAATATAGCTTGCAAAATTAAGGCAGAGAACTAATACAAGGCAGCTAACAACATGAAAAATGAGTTAACTAGACATAATTTTAAGATTCGAAGAATCAGACCGGATCGACTGATTCAAATTGAAGACTAGTAAACGGGCCTTTGGTTTAGCAGATGAATTGTTCTCCAAACAACCCGGTACAAACAGGAAAAACTCGATAAAAACCGGGAAAACCCGCTACGCCAAGCGACTTACCTAGTAGCTTTTTGGTCTTTGAAAACCTGGAGTAGAAGATAGAGTTGATGAAGAAAGGGAGAACCAGTAAAAAGAGGAAGGAATTGATGGCTTTGAACAGAGCACGTCACAGTAAATGGAGGAGGAGGTTGCAATGAAGCACCAAAATGAAAAAAAGATAAGAAAATCAAACTGAATAAGCCTTTAAAAGATGAGAAATGGAAGAAGAAGACGAAGCAATGAAGTAAAAGCAAAACCTGGAAATTGTTTTCTTGCGTGAAGATGATGAGATGAGACGAAAGGACAAAACCGACAGAAAGAGAAGTGCGTGGTTAGAGTCTTGGGTTGAATATGAGTTAAAAAAAAAAAAAAAAAAGGGATAGACGCAAGGTGGATATCTCTCTGAGGCTGGGAGCAATTAGCAAGGGTCAATAATTAAACATCTATAGGTAGCATCCTCGTGCCAATTTCACAATAGGGGCAAACGGTGCCTTCAAAGTAAACGGCAATGGTGAAAGTTATTATTTTTTGGGTGAAATGTGAATATCTATTAAAAGAATCAATTAATGATTCACAGACCAAATAATAGAAAAGAAGCAAAACAAGAGTCCCACTTGAGGGGATAGAGTCACACTCAAAACATCAACATGCAAAATAGGATAAAGAGTCTTCGGGAAATAAGTTGGATAATAAATGGGCAACCAAGAGGCAGCGATAATATCTATATACAATGAGTGGCTAGGAAATCAGCACTCGTATTACTTTCACTATAATAATTGCTGCTTTTAGATAATCCTCCTCTCATAAATATAAAACTCTTTTTATAATGTAATTAGATTGTAAAAATAGTTTTATATTTTAGACTGAAGGATACTAGATTATTTGCTTATAGCAACTGACTGTTTTCCCATACTAGTTTTAGAGAAAATCTCACTTTTATTAATTAGTCTTATTATAAAGAGCGAGTCCTTGATCATAAGAGGTCAACGAACTTTTGACTTGTCTTGAATCAATGGATTTCAGTGGCTATTGCAAAGAATTACTTTTTTTTTTTTTTCTTGGGATAACAAAGCGAAATCGCCATTGTGTCCTTTTAGGTGGCCAGCTAGGATGTAAGATGATGGTGACGTGATAAAGACGTGAGTTGGGGTTCTTGGAGCGTCTTGTGACTTGTGAGGTTCGAGTTAACAGTCAGCACATTAATAATTAGTCATGCCAGTACATGCTGATCATGACGATGCAGATTTTAATCAGCTCAACCCATGACTTTGGAAACACTAATAATCATCACTTAGATATATACATATATAGATATATAGGCCTCTAACGCATATGAAGGGCCTGTTTGGTGTGGCATTCAAAATGATTTGCAAGCATCTTTTGTGTAAATAAAAACAAAACTCTTATAATATATTTATCTCATATTTTATAAGTTACAGTTAAAAAACTATTTATAAATTATTTTAATTAGGTCCTGAGTAAAAAACTCCCTGTATATATTTAGATAATTAATTAATCATATCTCAAAAAGGGGGTCAAGTGTGATTGTAGAGAGAAAGAGAATAAAACGAAATGTCTTAGATCCAACTCTAAATCACGGAAGAGATTTTATTAAATTGAACATTTTCTGACTTTACTTTTCCATCTTTCCTCCATCATCTCACCGTAACTTAATAAATGTTTTTACAATAAATGTTGCATCATAGAGATGCAAAAACTTAAAAGAAAACAAGAACAAAACAAAGATAAAATTGCATATTTGGCTTTATAATTTATATAAGATTTCAATTAATTCTTTAATTTTATAAAGTGTTTTTTCCTTCAATTTTTTAACCCTAATTGTTAATTTCGTTAGCATAAAATATACAATATTGATATTCCAACTTCAAATCTAGACAAAGTATCCTGGAACCTGCATTTGGCTTGCCGATGAGTTCAATTTTTTGGCCTAAAATTTATTGTCTGGGTGCAGCAAAGAAGACGCCAATCAGTTCGGCGGCCTTCCTTCCTCCTTCACCACAACCAGTTCGGCGCCTCCCTCTCTTTGTCGAACCAGAACCAGCTCCGCAGCTCCCTAAAAGCAGAGAACAAGATCCCTCTGGCTAAGACGATGATGAAATCTTCCCCTCCTTTCGAACCAGTTCGGCCGCCTTTTTTCTTCAAGACCCAGCCGAATATCCCTTAGACAATGATGAATCCCTCTGTCAATTCCTGATTCCCTTCTCCTCGCAAAGCCCTCAGCTCCCTTCATCCAAACGCTGCGTTCCCCTCTTTTCAAATGTCCTCCTTTCTGTTTGCCATCACCCGAACGGCGCGTCCCGCCCTGTAGAGGAGCAAAAAAAAAAAAAAAAAGACAACTTTAAAGCAAAGCAAATAAGATAAAAAGAAATAAATAAACTAACAGAAATTGAAGCAGAAGGAAACAAAAATAAAATAATAAAATTTTAACTCTTAAAATTATTTTAACTACTTTTATTTTATTTTAAAAAACTAAGAAACTTATAAGATGATATCCAAATCATGCTCAAAATCAAATCGTTTAATTAATTCTTAGAAATCTTTTAAAATGTATTAATAACTCTCTAGAAATCATTCAAAATATTTTTTAAAGATATTTAAAATAATGAGTTATCAGTCACCCCTCACCAACGCGAGATATATTCAAAACCTCATGTAAAACATTCAGTTGCAGTGTTCTTCAAACACCATGCTTACCGAAGACAGCTAGATTCCTTCCTTCATCTCTCTCGCTCTCTGAAAGTAAGAAACACATCATGCTGCCTCACCTGCGACAAAACCCTTCTTCTTCTTCTTCTTCTTGTTGAGCTTCACAGTCTGGTCATGGTGGACTCTGGACGGCGTCGTTTCAGACCCTCAGACGACTCTGGTGACGATAGGTGCAGCCAAATCAACGTCAGCGACGTGTCCATCTTCCAAGACAACCTAAACGCAACGTTTCGAAGCATGAGAACGCAGATCAGCAACCAGAGCAAACACTTCGCCACGGAGCAAGTAGTGGAGGGTAACACCCCACTTATGGCCTTTTCCAGTGCAGAACTACCTCTCCATCGCCGACTGTCTCTCTTGCTTTGACTTCGCCGCCGATAAGATTCGACACAACTGCTCCGCCGCCTCCAATGGTGCCCACATCACATACGACGGCTGCTTCATCAGGTACGGCGCCAACTTTGACTTTTCTTAAATCGCTGAATTGACTGTATAGTTTGCCACTATTTGTTCAAGACAGGATAAAAATAATAGTATAACTAATACAATTATTAACAATACCTTATTATTATAAATAATTAACTTAAAAAATTCTCTTAATTTACTTAAATTAATACTTCTTCCAATTCAAAATATAAGTTAAACTTTATCCATTATGTTTATCAAGAAACTAATTAAAATCAATTTAAAATAATGGGTAAGATATATTTGTTTTCCTAATACCACTCTGTTCCTTTTTATAAGTCACTTGTATTCTAAAACTACAAACCAATAAATATATTAAATTAACCAGTTTTTTTTAATAAGAATATTAAAAGTTGAGAGAGAAGGGGATGGATTGCATAGGAAATGAAAAGTTGAGAGAGAGAATGGAAAGAGAAATTAATTAATTTTTTATTAAATTAATAGGGATAAAATTGAAAAAAAATCATTAATTATACTATAAGTGACTTATATTTTTTAAAACAAACTTTTGGGGTACAAGTGATTTATAATAAGGAACAGAGTGGTATGCCCTTATCAATGAAGAGAATAAGTGAAAGATGTAATAAATGAATTAAAGAGGAAAAGAATATATGAGGGTAAAATTGGAAAAAAACTCATTAAATGTTTGAACAAAAATGAATGTTATTTTTATAAAAAAAAATCTTTTTAAAAAGTTTAGCTTATATTTAAACCAGGAGTATCTAGCTATTATATCAAGAAGTTGAGTTACTACATTATTTTGCTTCCTTCGTCTCCACAAAAAGTCTATCCAATCAGAGAAATGACAAATATGACCCACTTTGAATGCTCTCAACAGTGATTGGGTTGAGAAGAGACTGATATCCCTTTAAGAAATTTTTTATGTTTGGGTTTTACGAGTAGGTAAAGAAATGCAGAAGAGCAGCTCGAGTCAAATAGTACCTGGAATTTGAATTGCATAATTAGTTATTCAGGATATCAGTTGAGCACATACATGGGTGACACGCACAACACGCGTATTTTGGATGACTAGTTATGATGAAGTCTTTAATGATTGCAAGCAGGATTGTACCTTTTCAGAATCCAAATTACCTAAAATTATGGTATTAAAACATAACTTGGGTTGGCCGGTTGGACCAGTGAATTAGTCTGATCTGGTCAAGAGTTTGAATAGGTTGACGGGTTGAATTTTATACATATTTTTCTTTGCTAAGCTTGAAACCCCACTCTTCAGAGTTAATGCCTTGTCTATTTAAATATTACTCATTTACAGAGTTATACATATTATCTTTTTTTTTTGGCCAAAAAGTATACATATATCTATATTTTATTGTACATGTTATTTTAATAATTGGGTTGATTCCAATTTAATTACGGTTACACCATCGACTCTCTTGAACTAATAAGTTTCCAGTACCTTGCCTAAAATTAATTAGAAACCTGATTTTTCATGCATCTTACGCAGGTACGAGAGCAGTAGCTTCTTTGACCAGTCAACAGACGCGGGGCAACAACATTAATTGCGGGAATGAAACAAGAAACTCAACTGAACTTGCTTCAACTGTGCAACAAGTTCTGAGGAATCTGGAAATAGCCACCCCAAGAATCCCAGGTTACTTTGCAGCCACCAAAACGACAGTACCTAACAGCAACGGCTCAAACATTTATGCCTTTGCTCAATGTGTTGAGACTCTCACACAAAGCGGTTGCGACAATTGCTTGAACATTGCCTTGAGAAATTTTCAGATTTGTCTCCCAAACTCAAATGCTAAGACTTTTGATTTCGGCTGCTTCATGAGATATTCCACCACTTCCTTCTTTGCTGACAATCAAACCACTAACATCAATCACTTCTTGAAACAAGGTGGATTATTACAGTAAACTTGAAATGGCTTCCATATATATTTTGCATTGGCTTTCGGTGAAAACTAAGTGGGTCAACATTTTTCTTGTGATTTGTAGGAGATTCAAGCAAGAAGAAGGCCGTTATTATTGGTGGAGTCGTTGGAGGAACATGTTTTATTTTGATTATACTAGCATTATTTGCTTTGTATATGCGATCAAAGTCATCGAAGATGGTTCCTAAAGGTAAGATAACCGAAAATGGTCTTTATTATTTAATTTGAAATTATTTAATGTGATTATCCTTGCATTAATTGCTTTGCATATGATTTGTTATTGGCTGCGCGAGATTTTTTTACTTTAATTTTATTTTCCTTGCAGGTGATATTTTGGGAGCAACTGAGTTAAAAGGCCCTGTTAACTATAGGTATAAAGATCTAAAGTCAGCGACAAAAAATTTCAGTGAAAAATATAAACTAGGAGAACAAGCCTTTGGTGATTTGTACAAGGTAGACCTCATAAAACTTTTTTTTTTTAATTATTACAGTTGATGTCATTTATATCGGGAGACACTTGTTGGGCTTGTTGCATTGAGGTTGTTCTTTTTTCTTTTTTTTTCCCGGGTGAACACACATAGGCGTGCTATTGTTTGTCACACTCTGCCAAGATTTCATTAGTTCTTTAATATTTTTGTCCTCTTATATGTGAATCGGGCTCATAAAAAAAAAAAAAAAAAAAGCGAAGGTTGATCTTTCACTAAAAGGTTATAGTTCATTTCAAAATTAATTTATTGTTAAACATCTGCACATTCTGAATGAAGATAAATAAAACTTTCTATAAGCATGTTTCTTTTTCTTTTGGTGAACTATAAGCATGTTCTTTAGTCTTAAGTATAATGTCTTTGTTGAACAGGGGTACTTTGAAAAATGGAAAGGTAGTTGCTATCAAGAAATTGGATTTAAGCCAATCCGAACAGATGGAGAAAGATTTTGAGAGTGAAGTGAAGTTGATAAGTAATATTCATCATCGAAATATTGTTCGACTTTTGGGATGTTGCAATAAAGGCCAGAGAGACTTCTGTTTACGAGTACATGAAAAACAACAATGTTGGCCAATTCTTATTTGGTACAGACAAAATCAATCTGTTAAATGAATATCTTATATTGTTTTGAGAATCAGCTTTAATTCTTCTATTCTTCCTTTATCCTTATTTCTTACACTGTGAAGTGATGAAAATAGGTGAGAATAAAGGGTCTCTGAGTTGGATGCAACGTTATGCGATAATTTTTGGCACTGCAAGAGGTTTGGCATATTTACATGAGGAATTCCATGTTTGTGTTTTACATAGAGATATAAAAGCTAGCAACATCCTATTGGATGATGATTTTCAACCTAAAATTGCTGATTTTGGACTAGCAAGGCTTCTTCCAAGAGACCAATCTCATCTTAATACAAATTTTGTTGGAACAATGTAAGTGAATGCACATACAAATATCCTATTTATTTACTTTTATTATTATTAGAAGAAATCATGCGTTGATGATAGAATGGAACATTGCTATCACACCTTTACATACTTTTCATTATGCAATCAGTGATATGTTTTTTTCAGGGGATATGTGGCACCTGAGTATGCAATGCATGGACAATTATCAGAAAAAGGTTGATACTTATAGCTATGGTGTTGTAATCCTAGAAATCATAAGTGGACAAAAAAGTAGTGCATTGAAGGTTGATGATGAAAGTGAATACCTCCTCCAAAGAGTAAGTAAATTCCTAGTAGTAAAACATGACAATGGATTGCATTTCATTGAACAAATTTCAAGTGCTGGATTTAGTGTTCAGACAATTAACCTTTTTTCATTATATATATGATCACTTGATCCCAGGCTTGGAAACTTTATGAGAGAGGAATGCATATAGCATTTGTGGACAAAACCTTAGACCCAAACGAGTATGATGCGGAAGAAGTAAAGAAAATAATAGAAATTGGGCTACTTTGCACGCAACATCCCCAAGTCCCTGCAGCAAGGCCAAGAATGTCTGAAGTTGTTAGAATGCTGAAAAGAAAGAGCTTAATGGAGCACAACCAGCCAACTATGCCTGTCTATGTTGATCCTACTTCTTGGCCCAAAAGAGACACTTCTGTCACTCACAGTTCGTCTTCATCAAATGCTGTTCTCTCTACTTCCATTTTATCAGGAAGGTGATTTGCTTCACACGCATGATCATACAATTAGCAACGGAAAAGTAAATAAATTGTTCTTCTTCTTCTTCTTCTTCATTCCATTACTCAAGATTTGATTACAATGAAACGTCAACTTTGCAGTTAGCAATTTTTGTATGCAATGATGGCCACTTGGCCTATGGTGTAAGATAAATCAGTGCCTTTGATTATGTTGTGTACTCAAATTGGTAATTTATCTACATTGAATATCTACATGTTAGCTTTTGCTTAAAACACTCTTGATATGATGCAGCTAGGCAGATAATATCTTCATTAACTACCGGCCGTTCCTGAAGATTATTCTACCTAACACTCACTAGTCAATATGAACAGGTTTATATGAATATACTACCTACCTTCGGCTCTTATATAAACTAAGAGCTAGTTGAATATTCAATTTAGTCTTAAGTATA